GTATCGTACTATCTCAAAATTTTATATAATACAGTACTAAATCATCTTCAATACAATACGAAATATATGTATATTCATAATAATTCTAACGCAAAAACCACATATTGTGATAATTAGAATAGCGAGAAGGAGTTTTTTTACAGTTATTTATGATATAAATAATTCACAATAATCTCAATGCAAACCCAACTTTAACTCCGTATTATGCGGCGAATAGGGTTGTAACAGAATTTTTTATGATAATTGCAATACAAATTAATTATATAATCTTAAGCAGGCACAAATATATTTTTACGTAATTCCTTATGTGTGCTAAGTTGGTGGCGCATTAATCAGCCTCATCATTTTTTTATTCAGTAAGTTTGTAAGCTTCTTTTTAAATTAAAATTTCACTGTGTTTCATTAATTGCCTGTATTTGTATTGCGGATTGAAGATATAACGGAAATACGTAATAGTCAACTCTTAATACCAAACTCAAAAATTTTAAATTTTTAGTTTTTTTACGTTCTGAATAAATGTTCATTATAAAGAGAGTGGAATATACTTTGCACATAAGTAGGTTATGTAGATATTGTCATAGTAATTTTGTATGTATGGTTAATAAAGCGAACCCACTTAATAATTCTATTACAGTATTCTTTTTTTTAAGATATGGGTTAGTGTAGATTATAAGAAAGCTCTTTCATTTAAAGAATATTTTACAATATGTACATGTTATTAATTAACATATTTGTATTTATTTGAGATTTATTACCATACTTTTAACGCACAATAAGAGCGTTGAAAATCATGAACATTATTATAAACATACTTTTTAAGTACGAAATAGTTAGAAAATGGTGTTTTTCGTTTTATTTAAATTAATGCAAATTACTTTGATTGATTAATGCGCTATCAATCTGACACACATTCAAGAATTACCATTTGAAGACAGAACCTGTAAAATAACTATAATGATAACGATAAAACTTTCTATAAATGAATAAAATGTATAGGACCTTTTAAACGCTCACTTATTCTCGAAAAAAGTTAATTTTGAATTGCCCTATTTAAAAGGATGAAATTGTAGATTGTATTTAAAATCTTTTATGACAAATTTTTGAATTACAACATACTGTTATTTTGGTCACGTTTTAAAATTTGGCTTATATTCATAACTTGATAACAAATAATAATTTTTGGTTTTGTTAGATAGTATAGTAGTATATTATTTCTTCATATATAATTTTAAAATTCTGAATGAAAAAATTATATAAGTGTATCTCGGTTAATAAATTAAATATCTACCGGTAAGCGTTTATGTAAATAATTATATATTTTTAAAAAAAATAGGATTTATAGGTCATATATTTTGAAGTAAATTGTGTCGCTTATTTTATCTGAAATCAGAAATCACTCTAATATTTTGATTTGATTAAACAAAAACTTTTGCAGATTTCAAATGTCGCCTTTTCATCTCTATTAAATACGTGCGTAAATATTAATTTTCTATTGATTTATACATGTTAAATTAGATGAATAGATAGTTTATTCATGATTATTACTCATTTTTGTTATCATAGAAATTCATGATTAAATATTACAAATATTATATATTTTATTTATTTGTACTAAAAAGTTCATCAAAATTTTCATTTCACGAAAAAAAACTGAGTAAATACCTCAAAAGAGGCGCCAACTTGGCCAAGTATTTACTGTAAATTTATTTATTAAGCGATTTTGTGAGATGATTTATGCTAGGCAGGATAGGGATTGGGATCAGTTTAGTCAATTACTATGTTTAGTCGACAAATTAGTCAACTAAACATAATAGCTTACTAGAAAAAGTTTTTAATCGACTAAACCGATTCCAATCCTTATATCTATGTATATAGTACATGCTAAATCCGATATCTAATTATAGCTACAAAGTCTAAACTATAAATAATTTTTGTATTGCTACTACAGTTACAAAGTCTGCATATAAATAGTTCTTCAGCTATTACTGCATCTTAACGTCTATAATTGTTTTTTATATTATAATTTTATTTAAAAAAAACCTTTAAATTTTTTAATTTTTTGTGAGATTCTTTTTCTTCAAAATTATCTAATAAATTTAAATATATATATTAAGATATAAGCATAGCAACAAATCAAATTAAATAAATTTAACCAACCATTAATATCAGATATTTTCTTTTATGATAAAGTGTGATTATTATTATCTATAAATTTGGAATTTAAAAAAAACTTGTTTAAAGTCTTATAGATAATTTCAAATAACCTATATACGTATTAGATATAAGGCCACGCAAAGTTGATTTTTTGTTTTGCATTACCCGCCGTCCCATTTTTTCAATTTTTCAAAAATTTTTTTTTTTTTTTTTTTAGATCCCAATTATGCCAATTGTTCGATTTTTGACATTTATTTTTTCCCGCTATTTTCATCCGGTATCACCCGATGGAGACCTTGATTTCCCGAAATTGTCCGATAGGACTGACAGGAAAAATATGACTGCCGGCCCAATTTTTTGATTCCTTGTTGTGAAAATATAACCTAAAATGTGATAATTATTCTATTTGCAGTAAATTGGATCAAAAAAAAAAATCCGTCCGTCCGTCCCTAATTTTGAAATCCGTGTAATGCAAAACGAAAAATCAACTTTGCGTGGCCTAAGTATAGTACAGTCAGACTATTAAATATTGTCTAACTAGTGTACCAATTCGGATAAAAAACTCGGTTTGATCCGGGATTGACCGAAACCGATGAATCCAAAATTTTGGGTTGAATCCGGAGCCAATCCGAAGTATTTAATTAATGGTAAATATTTTAACATGGTCGACTTGGAATTTATATATTAGTGCAACGTGAAAGAAAAAACTGGATCCAGATATCAAAATTAGGCTTAATCCGGGCAATCCGAAACTTTTGCCCAACTCGGATGTTAATTCGAATCCGTCGGATCCGGATTATTCAGAACACTAGCGCTAGGTCTGACTGTAATAAATAAAATTAAATAAAATTTAACCAACCATTAATATCCAATATTATTCTTTTATGAGAAGATGCATGATTATTATCTATAAATTCAGAATTTAAAAGAAGTTGCTTGTTTAAATTCTTATAATTTTCAAATAACCTATATATTAAAGATGTAATAAATAACATTAAATAAAACTTAACCAACCATTAATATCTAATATTTTTCTTTTACGAGAAAGTGCATGATTATCATTATCTATAAATATACAAAATTTAAAAAAAGTTACTTGTTAAAAACCTTATAATTTTTCAATAATCTATATATAAAAATTAACATACCATTATTATTACTTAAAAGGTTTGAAACACTAAGATAGCAAAGTGTTGAATCTATTGCAATTACAAATTTACTTCAATACTTATTTTAAATAAAAAATTATATTTTTGAAAATTCACCTGCTTTATTGACTTCAATCGAGCTACTATAAGCTTGCATAATTTCTACCGTATTTATAAGTTTGTTAGTATACATGGAATCTGGATGTTTTTTTAAAGTAGTTGAAAATGTTTTATTCTCTTGTGTGTTTATATGTTTACTAGTAAATTTAGAATCTAAATATTTTAGCAATGTAATAGGCAACGATTTAATCACTTCATTAGCTTTAAAAAATTTATCTCGTATTTCAAGTTTTATTTTGTCATTTGCCGAGTATTCTCGAACTCTTAAAATTTGCTGCCAATCATAAATCTTCAAACTAATATCTTCAGCAGTAGGTCGATTCTGTGGATTCGAATCCATACAAAGTTTAGCTAATTCAACATAACAATTTGGAGTTCCGGGTGCGAATTCTGGTCGTAACCCATGACAAATTTTTCTTGCAAGTTCAGTATTAAATTGATATCCATCGAAGGGCCTTTCTCCAGTTGACACTTGTGCCATAATAACGCCAAACCCATAAATATCGGCTTTATATGTGTAATCACCGCCTAACAACACTTCTGGGGCAATATAGGGCATAACCCCCAAAGATATTCCCTGTTGAAAGCTGGTCATCCTTCTTTCTGGATAATCCTAAATCAGCAATATAACATTTCATACAGCTAATATATTTATGTATCAAAATATTTCTACTGTGAAAATCACCATGGATATAATCGGCCTCGTGAATTTTAGCCAAATCATTTGATACATCCCAAAGTAGCCATAATTTATCTTGCCATTTGATTTTTGAAAATTCTAATTTTAAAAATTCATGGAGATTTCCTTTATTTGCATATTGAAACACCATCATATATTCTTCAGTTTCAGTATTTTGAGTTAATCCATATATTTCAAGGGAACAGCCTTTTAACCTACAGTGCATGTGATTTTTAAACTTAAACATAGATTTTAAGCAACCGTTTAAAATTAATTATTACAAAAATAAATTATATTAACTTATATCAACTTACTTCTTGTAAAAAGCTTGAAGAATTTGTTCGGAAATCTGTTAAAGTCTTGAGCGCAACTTTACTATATTGTTCACGTAGTGGTGTTTTATTTTCAATAACTCGAATACCATCAAGCCAAATTGCAGAATACACTTTACTAAATGCACCTTCACCGATCTTTATTAGATCAGTTAATTTGTCAAATGGAATCCATTTAATCACCTCATTATATTTAGCAGATTTAAGTTGAAATTCTTTAATACAACCATCAATATCCTTATTTCCACTTGTCCATCCTTGACTTGTAATATAAGGATCACATAAATGACACCAAGCCGGTGAAGTACTATTTCGAGTGCAATTTAAGCAATTACCAAAATCAACTTCTCTTAGAGAAGAAAATTGATTTATCCCATCAGCATGACCCATATCTGCAGATTTTTTATAATATTTGAATGCCTCATGTTCATTCTTTTCAGTTCCAATTCCATTCTTGTAGCAACGTCCAACATTATATATTCCATCAATGTGTCCGATACCTGCAGATATTTTATAATATTCGAATGCCTTCTTTGTACCTTTTTCAACTCCTATTCCATTTTCATAGCAACGTCCAAGGTTATATATTCCATCCATATGACCCATATTTGCAGATTTTTGATAATATTTAAACGCATCGTTTCTATCTTTTTCAACTCCTATTCCGTATTGATAACAACGTATAACATTATATATTCCGTCTACATGTCCTAGATCTGCAGATTTTTGATAATACGTAAACGCATCCTTTCCATCTTTTTCAACTCCTATTCCATATTGATAACAGCGTACAACATTATATATTCCATCTACATGTCCTAGATCTGCAGATTTTTTATAATTTTTAAATGCCCTTTTTATATCTTTTTCAACTCCTATTCCATTTTCATAACAACGTCCAAGATTATATGTTCCATCTATGTGTCCGATATCTGTAGATTTTTGATAATATTTGAAAGCCTCATGTTCATTCTTTTCAGTTCCAATTCCATAATTGTAGCAACGTCCAACATTATATATTCCATCCATATGTCCGATATCTGCAGATTTTTGATAATATTCGAATGCCTTCTTTATATCTTTTTCAACTCCTATTCCATTTTCATAACAACGCCCAAGATTATATGTTCCATCATCTTGTCCCATATCAGTTGATTTTTGATAATATTCGAATGCCTTCTTTATATCTTTTTCAACTCCTATTCCATTTTCAAAAAAACGTCCTAAATTATATGTTCCATCAGCTTGTTTCATGTCTGCAGATTTTTGATAATATCTGAATGCCTCATCTATATTTTTTTCAATTCTTATTCCATTTTCATAACAGCGTCCAAGGTTATATATTCCATCAGCTTGTTCCATATCTGATGATTTTTGATAATATTCGAATGCCTTTCTTATATCTTTTTCAACTCCTATTCCATTTTCATAACAACGCCCAAGATTATATGTTCCAATTGCATTTCTGTTGGAGTCATATTTCTGATAATAAATGAATGCATTATATTCATCCTTTTTAACTCCAATTCCCTTTATATAACAATATCCTACTTTAGTTATTCCATCAGCATGTCCCATATCTGCAGATTTTTGATAATATTTGTATGCCTTATGTTCATTCTTTTCAGTTCCAATTCCGTTCAGATAACAATGTCCAATATTATATATTCCATCTACATGTCCCATATTTGCAGATATTTGATAATATTTAAATGCTTCATGTTCATTCTTTTCAGTTCCAATTCCATTCCGGTAACAACGTCCAGTATTATATATTCCATCTATATGTCTGAAATCTGCAGATTTTTTATAAAATTTGAATGCCTTCCTTGTATCCTTTTCAACTCCTATTCCATTTTCATAACAATGTCCAACAGAATATATTCCATCTACATCCTCCATATATGCAGATTTTTGATAATATTCGGATGCCTTCCTTATATCTTTTTCAACTCCTATTCCGTATTGATAACAACGTCCTACATTATATATTCCTTCTGTATGCCCCAGATCTGCAGATTTTTGATAATATTTGAATGCATCATTTATATCTTTTTCAATTCCTATTCCATTTTCATAACAACGTCCAAGATTATATGTTCCATCAGCTTGTTCCATATCTGTTGATTTTTGATAATA